TTAGCGACTCTTTAGTACAAATTTTATGCTCCACCAAACCCATTACCTGCCATAACATTATATTTGTCAGACTAATGGGTTAGACTTTCTATTATATATAAACAATAAAACACCAAAATATTACACCTATATGCTGTTTCTTATTCGAGTGTAAGCAAATCATCCAAACAGGAATTATATTTTGCTGACATTCAAATTAAATGCATGCACTATAACGCTATAGCCTAGCAGAAAAATGTAGCTTTATTGATATTTGGAAGGCTAATATGGGTTTACTAATATTCTGTCTAAACTGATATCAAATATTACACGAGAGCCTCATATATCTGTGGTTTAGCCATTATGTAGCACTAGCTTGCATTACAATGCTAGACATTATACTGTATCTTATTTTGATCTGTCACCTGAGAAGGCTCGTGTTGCGCGTGTATCACATCAAACTGAGCTATTTCATTAAAACAACTAAGAATAAAGTAGCAGTCACTGGCTAAAAAAAGCATGGCTTTGTCTTTATCACAAACACACACTTTTCAAGCAAACTACAAATACAGTACACAGAGTGCCACACAGCTGCAGTACTGTATGTACTGTAAGAAAATAGAGCAAAGGTTTCCCCACACACTGCACCATCTTTTCTTTTCTCATGCAGCCTATTTTTCTCCTCCTGATCATCTGAGCAGCTTAAGCTAATATGCAGAACATGTGATTGCTAAAGCAGAAAACATGATTAAGTCTCTCCTCTTTTTTTGAAGAAGACCCTCTGCAGTGCAGAGATCCTGTAGGCTTAGTGAACATTCATCCCTGCTGTCTGGGTCAGGAGACTGTAGTGTTCATGGCTGATTAGTATCAGAGAGGGATTTTATCACGAGGCAGATATTTGTGCTATGAGTCACAATTGATCTTTTGCTGTTACTGATTATTTGTAAAGCTCCTCATCGCATACAAAGTCAAAACGGCCTTTAATTTTTACTGCAATTTAATATTTGCAAGCCAATAATTACTGCTGCTTTAACCTCGTGGGACCTGGCGTCCACATATGTGGACATCACATTTTGGGTCATTTAGACCAAAATACTGAATTTTGCTCTACAAAGGCCTGATATCCACTTATGAGGACATTATACTGCTACTGTTCTATCAAAATGTTAAACGAATATGCTCATATGTGGTTCTTACTTTTCTTAAAAACAAAAATAAGGTTAAAAAAAATCTGGTAATTCTTTGTTTTTACATTCATCGGGCCCAAATATCAAAGAGAAATTAAAAATGCATGCTGTGGAAGAGTTCGGGTCTTAGGAGGTTAAAGCTTATAGTGCCATGCACTGATTTTATTTGTCATTTCTTGTAATGCCCTTTTTATATATAAATGAGTCAATATACTTTTGGATATATGTCATCAAGATGAGAAAATAAGATAATGGTTATTTTCTTCAAGCAGAAACTCGGAGTTGAACCAAAGTAAAAGCACGAGTACTTTCATTTTGTTGGTATTCCTTCCTCCTGACTGTAACAATGAGAGAATAAGCTATGTGTGATAAGCTTCCTGAAAGATGTTGCAGCAGATTGTATTAAAAGGCTACAGAGGTCAGAGTGTTGTTTTGCTTTCTTCGTGGATTTTGTCAGGAATTTAAATGGCCTGAGCTTCGCTACTGTTGAGTTTTACATCAATATGAGTCGTTCATTTGTCAGAAAATAAACCCTCATCGCTACACTGACCCTGGGACACTTTAGCACATCCACCCAAATCACACAAACATACACACACACACACACACACACACACACAAGCATACATGCAAGATCATAAAAAATGAAATAATGCTGTGCAAAGGGCTTAGAGGATAATCCAAGCGAGTGGAGTGTACTACATCGTAACAGGAATTAAATTTCCTCTTCATCCAAAAAAGGACATGGCAGCAAGGTTAGGTCAGTGTATGACACAAAGGGATATCGCAACAAATCTGCTCTCTTTACGTTTCCTACCCCACACATCTTTTTTTCTGTATCTACTCATCTTTCTTGTCTTTTTCATTCTCCTTCAGTTGTATTAGTTTAAGTGGCATTTTAGTGTATCCTAATCCGCCAGCATCAGATGGGTGATATTTTTGTGTTAACTTCAGAAAAAGCATCATCCTGTGGCAACGTGTTGATTGCATGTCTCTATCTAAGTGTAAATATCCTATAGTGACACTTAAAGTTAGTTCCCTTGTCAGGTTAGTGGAGGCATGGAGGCCCTGTAGCGACAAGTTCATGATGGAGATAAACATCAATTGCGACAGATGACAAACTATGATATACCAATATGACACACATGCTCAACCGCTGTCATACACAGGCCTAATGAAGTCTTTACGGCCCTGGTTAACGGCTATTTGGTGCATGCATTTCACTCCGAGCTAAGTTCACAACAGTTATGCCACAGTTGGCAAACTACCAGGCCCTGTGCACTCACAACATTTTCCAGTTAAGGATTTGTGAGGCATTAATGTGGCGTGGCTTTTGCAGACATCATATGGGTTTCAGGTTACATCAAGATTGAAATCTCTCATAGAGCTACAGTTTGCGCTGAGCCTTAAAATAGAAACAGAATTATGATCCAAATCAAAGTTGTGTGTGTCTTTATAATAATCCAGCGCAATCCATAGAGATTGCAAAATGGCTAAAGAGAGCATGCTTGATACTGTACAGTAGTTTCTGAGGTCACCATGGCTCTACTGTGGATCTTAAAATGCATTCACTGGCCATTTAGTGCTTTAATTTCAGGTGTCTCTGGAGGCAGACATTGTTAGTATTACGCTGGGTTTTACAGATAATCAGTGCCACAAAAAGTTAAAAGCCACATGCAAACTGCACACAGGAATGCCTCGGCCAGATTACGTCGAACTCAGGACCTTCTTGCTGTGGGGCAACAGTGCTAACCACCGTGCCACCATGCTGCCCTCATGACACCAATAGGTCACTTGTCAGATTTTATTTTATGTATACTTTATTGATCCCCGTGGGGAAATTCCTCTCTGGATTTAACCCATTCACTCTGTGAAGCAGTGGGCAGCCACTGGGCACCAGGGGAGCAGTGTGTAGGGATGGTACCTTGCTCAGGGGTACCTCAGGGTAGCCATTCAGTGGATTTAAACCCCAGGCCTTCCGATCACCACTCTACTTACTAAGCTATCCCTGCCCACAAAACTGCTCAAAAGCAACCGAATGTTGTGACTTGTAAACTGAGGTTCATATATAAAGATCTGTGTACTACCTCTTTGAAGTTGTAAAGTTTTTAAGTGCATATTGTTAGGTAAACATATAATAATCCAATTGGCATAAATGACTCATCATTTGGTAACAAAAACAGTTAAAATCCTCGCTATAAAAGTTGAGTTTGCTCTGTGCAAATTGTTTCTGTTTCTCTTGTAATTTCAAGCTTATATTGCAAAGTCAGGTAGATATTTCACCTTGAGGAATTTGTCCTTTAGCATCTGAGAGCTCTGTGCCACTCAGCACTTTTTCCCCCGGACTCCAGAAATCATTATCAGCCACTGTGGGGTATTTAAACAGCAGCCAAGTTGGTACTTTGATTTTTCGTCCTCCTCATCATCCTTAGCTCCCCACGATCTCTCAGAGATGGATGCAAATGGAGCAAAGATTTAGAGGTAATTCATCATTTAATAGGTTTATTCATCATTGTGTGGCAACAGTTGCAATGCTACAACTCAAATTTGTGCGTGGATCATTCGAGCTGGAAAGATTCATATAACGCCTGTGTTTTTTCTCAGTTTGTCCTGAGTCAGCCCACATTTCTCTTGAAATGAAAAAAAAATCAATAATGCTGTAAATTTTGCAGCAGTCAGAATAAGCATGAGTATCTCAGTTTTCTCAATCAAACAAGTGCATTCCAATTCCAAACTAACCTGTAAATCTCATTTTCGAAAATGTCTGCGTTTACAGAGAAAAAAACACCTCTATGCTACAACAAACTGTAACACTAAACCCTGAAATGCTACACTTTTCATCCTTAAGTATGTCTGGGCACATGGCTGTATATTTGTATATCTATATATGTTGAGATATTTATTTGATTACAATATTTCACACTATTCAACCTTCACCATCTGTATAGGAAGCATCTCAATATGCCCCCCAAAAGTAGCACTGATAGTATATAAATTTAATGGTAATAAATCTTAAGCATAAAACAGAAGAAACTGGTAAATATTAAAACAAATTTTCTGCAATATCAACAAATAGTCTGATACAGAAAAAATTAAGAGTTTTGACTCTATTTAGCCTAAATTCCTTTTTGACTTATTGGCCGAAGTTTCAAATAATTAGGTCACTGTATGTACAAGTAATCCCTGTGAGCTAAAAGCTTCTTGCTTCAGGCTGTTTTAAATGCTTGAGAGGAGATATCCTTAATATGGCCATCCTGGGCACTCAGCTGTGAAGAGATGAGTTTGTTATCCAAACTTTCTCTTTATGAGAGGCAAAAAAAAAAGCTAAGTTGACCTTAAGGGAAGACAATGACAAAAAACAGCTAATTTCATATGGAGTAGAGAGAAGCATCAAGGCCCAGTATGAGGTAAATAGGTATTATTTTCAATGTTAAATCATGCAAAGCAATTAGAGAGAATAAAAGTATGGGGTTTTGGAGCTCCAGAGTCTTCAGAGTATGGACATTGATTTAGTAACTTAGCGACTAAGGTGTAGAAAACATGTAAACACTTGAATATATATTAGCCTTTATATATGCTCATAATAAGTGCAATAAGTAAGACGGTATGTTTGGCAGTTCAACTTATTTTGATAAAGTGTCTCCTTCTGATGAACCTGCCACTCATTCAGGTGTATAATTCAGTTTATTTCAGCTTGCTATATGTTTTATGTTTAAAAGACAAGCAAGGGCAACATCATCCACGTGACTTTAAGGGGGTGTGTGCATGGAAAAACTAGGTGTTAAATAGAAGGTCAGTATATATGATCACATCACAAGGCACAAATAAACCTACCATTCATGCCATTATAGATGCTCCGATGATGTGGTGACAGCTCGTCTCCAGCCGGCCTCCTCTGCCCTTCTCTCACTGGGCTGCCAAACTTCACATGGTCAGGGCTCATGCTGTACTGGTGCCTGTGAGTTTCCGGGCTGCCCCCCTGGATGAAACAGCCCTTTTCATGGTGCTCTCCAGTCCCCAAATGTGCCTGCCGGGGCTCTGGGCTTCCGCATCCTGTACTACTTATGCTGCTCCTGTTGTGCCGCTGATAGAGCTCCCCGGTGCCTCCCTGACCTAGGAAGTGCTGCCTCTGGCCCAGGACGAGGTCAGAGCTGTGGTGCTTGGGGTGCTGCTCCGGACTTCGGTGGCCCACGTTCCTTCCATATTTTTCGGGACTAAGGCCCCGCATGACCCGACTATGGTCAGGCACAGATATAGAGCCACAGCGGGGCCGGCAGAGCTGAGGGAGGGTGTATGGGTACTCCAGGCTTGTACTCCGATGGCGCCCAGCTGGGTGATCAGGACTGGACACCTCCCTGTCTCCTCCAATTACACCTCCTATTCCACTGATGCTGCTACACCTGGGTTTATGTAGAAGCTCAGGGCTTCCTTTTTCCCCACCACTGCCAACCCCACCCACTCCTGCAGCCAGGTGAGGCTGTTTATGGTGAAGGTGATCAGAGCTGTCAGCACTCCCTGCACTGGAAGTGCTGCTTCCATCCCCTACGTCTCTCATTAGCAACCCCTGGCCAGGCACTAGCAGCAAGCTATTCTGGCTGTCTATGGAGTTACGGCACCCTCCCATTCCCACACTGCCTCCACCTCCACTTCCTCCAATGCCACCTCCACCACCTACTACCCCCTTTTCTTCATCCAGTAGAAGACAGAGCTCCTTCAGCTCCAGGTTCTCCCGGATTACCTCTTCTTGTCGAAGCTCTAGCTCCTTGAGTTTCTGGAGGTAGAGGGTCACCTCTTTACGCATTATGCTGGCACTGTAACGTCCGAGACGCTGCCACTCTCTGGACACACGCTTTCCTTTTTGACGATCATCATCTAAGAAGCAGCACAAGTCCCGCAGCTCACGATTGTCCTCCTGCAGCTTCTGGTTAATGTCCTGTGAAAGCAAGAAGAGAAATAATAGAAATTTAGAAATTAGAAAAGAGCGACACACAGTTTACATGTATGAACCAGAAAGCCTGAGGAAAAAAAATGCTCCTTAAGGAACACAAATTAGTTTTTGAAATGTTGCAAAACAAAGTCATTTTTCATGGGTTACTTAACTTCGACTAAATCACTCAAGCCATTGTGCAATTTGAATACATTTCACTGCTTTTCAGATAGCAATCAAATGGTGTATGCAATCATAATGAAATTAAATCCTAATCCTACGTCCTTTCCCATAAATGCAGTGACTCACTGTGTACCATGTGAAATACATAATGTAAATTAGAATCATCTGGAGGACAGGAAAAGGCCACACAGAAATGAGGCAAGGTCATAAACATTTCATACTAAGCAACATTTACTTAAGGATTCTTTCTTCACCTCCAAGAGACCTCCTTCTTTTCTCCTCTTCTGTAACAACTTAACTCTCCGCTATCCTCCATCTCCTACTTACTCCCCCTTTTGTACCCTCCAGCTCTTTCCTGTGTAATTAGGCTGCTTGGATGGGTGGAGAGGTGACGAGGTCTCCAAGAAAAGCAAATGATCCCGATGTGCTTCAGCTGAGACAACCCCAGGCTGATTCTCAGAATTTAACTGTAAACACTGTGGACACTGTGCAATAATTATTTTATTAGAAAATGAAGGCACTGGGTAAAGGTTACTGAAATGAAGAAAGCCTGCATACAGTTTCAGAGCATCTGCCACTCGATTCTGTGTTCCACTTGCTGTAGATTTATGTGAAGGAATTTTTTTAGGAATCTAAAGTATGCGAAGACAAGATCAGATTTGAGCACTGTATGAACAAATCCACTGATTTATTGACGGACATTACTGTTAGAAGAAAGCATTTTTAAGTGAAACCTACTCGTCATTGCTCTATCTGAGTGGAAAGGGCACAGCTTGGTATTGATTTTGCTAACAAGCACAAACATCCCTTCCCTTTTTAGTTCACTTTAAAAGCCCGTATTTCCCACCTCAAAAAAGTTAAAATGGAAACTAGAGGCTTTTATTAGCTCCTGCATGTGCAAAAGTGCACATATACTTTACATCCATCTAAACCCAAATGATCGCATATGACCCATGAAATGGCACACTGAACTTCAGATATACCATCTATTCTCACACCATGTTTGCAGAGGCGCTCTCTAAACAGCAGAGCATTGCTCCTGCTATGCGCGTTCTCAGGTGTGCTCCAAGCCTATGATCTCATCCTTCACCGATGCGCGCCCCCTCACCTTCAGCCCCCTGATTTCGTTTAAGTGCAGCTGGAGGCTACGATTGACCTCCCGGATGAGATTCCCGTGGTCCAGAATCACGCTCATCTTGTCGGCCTCAGACCGCCTGAGTCGGCGCACCAGATCCTCCTTGGTCCACTTGAGCAGTTCCTCGTCAGTCAGACCGGAGATGTCCTCTGCTGGACTTTCAGTCTTCGCTATCGAGAGCTGAAGCCCAGGCTGGGGCGGTGGAGTCGCTTTCTCCATTGGCACAGCTCCTCCGGTACCGACAAAGAGCAGAAAATACTTAGAGGCTCGCTGGCAACCTCTGCTCGCATCCGCTCCCCGGTCGACTTAGGGTGGAAACGGTTACGGATTGTAAATCAGTCGCATAGTTTGGCCTTTTCTGTTGCTCCCCACTCTTCCACTCTCTTCCTAGAGCAACAGCTGACGATGCCGGCTGGGCGCGATACAGCGGAGAAGATGCTCTACTATCACTGCAACATCCTCACAGCCGAAATGGACTCTGTGCGCAGCCGATATGCATTAGAATCCAGATTCTGTCGGTCAGGTGGTCAAAGTGAGAAAAGCTTCGGTTTACACACACACCTGCCGCATCTAGGCTCAGCACACTGCGAGAAAGAGGAGATAGTCCGCTGTGCACAGCAGAAACACAGGGAGAGGAAACAGCTCTCCCCTTTCTCTCCCCCTCCCTCTCTCTCTCCAGGTCTCTCCCTCCGGGGGCTTGAGCCTCACCGAAATCATAGTTTGGTTGCAGCGCCACCTAACGTTCAAAATTATTGCAAACTGTTCTGAAATGCTTCGTTAATTACCTCTCGGATTCGCTTGAAATTACAGGGGGTACTCTGAAGTTAAGATTCTGGTACTTTCTCCAAACGACATAATTTCTGCAAGTGTGACGATTTAGGAGAAAACATAGGCTGTATAAGCGCCAAAATATAATAATAATAAATGAATTAATAATCAGGTTTACAGGTTATACTCTAAAACTTAACAACAGGCTATCCACTGATGTCCGTAACCTCACTCGACTGCCTCATGTTGCACCGTGTAGTCCTTTAAGTTTAAATTACTGTCTGTGATTTTCAAATTGTAAGCCGCTGATATTTTAGATACCGGAACTTTCCTCTGTGGGAAATAGGTAGGTATGGTGTAGCTATATTAAGTGGTTTGGACCAAAAGTCCCCATATTTGAGCACAAAAAATAAATAATAATAATAATAGTAATAATGCTTTTATTGATGTTCATCTATTTGTTTTCTTCTTTTATACACCCCAACTACACCACGTTAATAGAAGTGAGTAGTAGTAGTAGAAATAGTAATGAACTCTAAAAACCAAGAATGGGTAGTAACCGTTAACCATTTGTTCATTTTTGAACATATTGACGACTGTGTGTAGGAAACAATTTTTTAAAAAAAATCATATATTTGAAATTAACAGTAACTTTCGAAATATATATAAGGCAAAGCATGTGGTTCATTATTTCTCTCTGAAATTTAGTAAAGTAGAAGAAAAGTGGCATACAGCTGAAATACTCATTAGTACATCAATGTACATGTGTCAGTACAGTGAGATAATACAAGTCCCGCACAACTGTCGAACAACACGTTATCACACAGTACAAAATTTTCGGTGGACATAACACGCTCTACAACTCCGAGATTATCGGAGCTTACGTTACTGCTGCAGCGGATCTAAACAACTCATTTTCCCATAGTTGTACGCTTCCGCTGCATACGCTAAGCATGACGTACGAACGTCATGGAAATACGAGCCAATAGGACACGCCTGATCTTGGAGTAACACGTCATTCTAGTGGAGTGCATACCCGGCTGATAGGGAGTGAGCTCGTCAACGTCGTCTCTGTGTCCTCTCGGGCATCCGTCTCCATTTACCTCCAGATGCTGTAACTCGTTTCGAACCGAACAGTTTCTTTATTGTTGTCCATACCTAAGCTCAACTTAATATAAAAGGTAAGAGCTCGCCTTAAATTTCTTCGAAAGTAGACCGCCCGAATTCAGCTTTCATTTACGAAGGGACAGGAAGTAGGTTAATGCTACATTCCATTAGCTAACCCGGTGTCGTTAGCATGCAGATGAGTGCCAGAGAAGTAAAGAGAGACGGTTTTACAGCGAAGATTAACAAAATAAGGCCAACTGTTAAACTAGTCTGTCTTCTATAAACGCCACTGCTGTTATGTTGTGTTTTGGCTATCAGCATACAAAGCGTAAATAAGCATTTGAATGAGTACGAGTTCTGATAAAGACCAACTCTCACTGGTGGCTTCGTTGCTGATAATACGTGGCCTGTGTGTTGTGTTGAAATCTATTCAGATTCATAAAATTCGAAAAGTTGCTTAAAATTTTGACTTTTCTTTTGTTTTTTCCGTATTTCCTTGTACTTTGTTTAAAAAAAATAGACATTTTTTTTTTTAAAAAGGACAAAATCTTTTCCTCATTCCAAACTTGAATATGTCATTAGATTGTGCGGGGGCTTTTTAGTTTCTTTGCCTTAAGCATTGCAATCTTAAGCGGTCAGGTGTAGTAGTAATAGAGTTGAAGAGAAATTCGAGTCATTAATTTGGTGACAGCATTAATAAAAATAAAATACACAGAAAAACAGTATTTGCAGAAATTAGTTGTCATTCCCAAATATTACAGTCAGTAAGGAAAGTTTGTGTATTAAGCGCATTTTGTAAACAATGAAAGTGCATGCTTTCAATAATTTACAACAATAGATTAGTTAATCAAAGAATAACAATAGCCTGTATACCTAAACTACTGCAAAGTGGCTTAGAGCAATACAACAAATGAGTAAAAAAAAAACAATAGATTTCCCTGTGAATATAAATTAGTTGTACAAGTTCATCTTAGTTGTGTGAATCTATACTACCTTTTCTGTTTGTTTTATGAGATGAGAATTTCTGGACCCTGTGCTGTCAGTCTTGGCTCTGGGGTATGTTGTAACACATAAGTTAGTTGGCTGAACTGGGAAAAAATTACAACAGATAATGTAATGTGTGAATAATAAAAACTCTTATATAATTTAATCCACGTTAAACACGTTGCATGTTTTTGCAGTCCTTTGATGTTTATTCTTGACTATGCAGCTTCACATAGTCATGAGAAAGAATGAGAGTATACAGTTGCTACAACAGCATGCTTGGCAATGATTTGCAAAAGGCGTCACTAATGTTTCAGTGACGTCCGCTAACAAAGGTAGAGCTTTAAAATACTTGCAGGATTCCTCCGCACTCTTTGAAAACTTGCTGGTCAGGTTTTCTAATGTTAAAATTTGTGCGTCATGCTTTCGAAAATCCGTTCCTTTTTATAGCACACGAGAGAAAAGATCACAGGTATAAAGAGTAGGCGCTGACTGCAGCTAGCAGAAGAAAGCCGGTACACAGCAGAGAGGGAACATCGGAAGATTTGGAGTGGTACCGTTTGGATTACCACTTCCACGCTTATTATTTTAATTCTTCAGCGGGACTGATAACCTCACTGTGTTATTTTGGGGGATCTTTTCCTTCTGAAGATCAGTGATGACAACCTACCAGGAGTTCATTCAACAAAATGAGGACAGAGATGGGGTGAGATTCAGCTGGAACCTCTGGCCCTCGAGCCGCCTTGAAGCCACCAGGCTGGTAGTCCCTGTCTCCTGCCTCTTCACACCTCTCAAAGAGAGGCCCAACTTGCCACCGGTCCAGTATGAGCCAGTTCTTTGCAGCCGGGCCAACTGTAAGGCAGTGCTCAACCCACTATGGTGAGTTTCACAGAAAAACAGTACTCTAGCTTATAAAGTGTATCCTTTTGAATGTTTATTTTAATCATGCGTTTTGGTATATGTATGTGATATAATTTCCTTGACTTTTAGTATTTTAGTTTCATCATTTAAAGCCACAGATGTCTGTTCCTGACATTTATTTACTAAAGTGTTATATTTGCAAATGTAAATGTGAATGAAACGAGATGCAGGGATTTGAATTTGACTTTTTTTTTCTAACACATCAGCACTTCTAAATGCTGAGGTGTTCTTAGTATTGGGTGTGGTGCATGAGAACTGCAAACACTAAATACACCTTGTGTATATTTCAGTCACAGCCACACTTATGACAATTAGATACAACCTCTATTTTCTTACTTTTATTCGTATTTTTTACAGTCAAGTTGACTTCAGAGCAAAAATATGGGCCTGCAACTTCTGCTTCCAGAGAAACCCTGTAAGTACTGTGGCTGAGAGCATAGTTTAGTCTTGCTGCTATTTGAAACATATCGCTGCCAAAATGTGTCTCTGCATTCATAACTTAATGCTGATGAGCTACATTCCTTTTTTAGGTTGGTTAATCTTGATATCTTTCTGTGTGCGTGTGTGTGTGTGTGTGTGTGTGTGTGTGCGCAGTTCCCTCCCTCTTACGCAGGCATATCAGACGTGAACCAGCCAGCTGAGCTTATGCCACAGTTTTCTACAATTGAGTACATAGTACAGGTAAATACTGCATACATGTCTGCACTCTGACCTTAACAATTTGTATTAAGTCCAGAAGATGCAAGGTATAAAGGTCAACATTAACAGTTTTCAGTAGTATCACATATGTTTTTTTAGGGATGCCTTATTTTTGACAGTGACAGATGTAATAACAGAAAAGTAGACCTAAGTTAAATTATACAGGTGGCTGTAATAAACATTTTAAATGGTAATTATAAAAGCAAAACCACTTTGAGCCTGACGTCTGTTGTGGTTGGCATTTGTAACAATACTACTACTAGTTTATAATGTGTAGTGTATTCAGAAAGTATGACTATGAGCTTCTGATGTTCACATGCCATCTCTGCTAGTGCCGGTAATATAGAAATATATACGAAGCAAGCAGCAAACCACACAGCACCACATGAAAAGGAATGCATAAACAATAGTCTCAATTGTTCTTCACCATGTGATTATGACTGTTTGGATACAATGTGATTTCATCAGTTTTTGACTTTAGTCTCCTGCCTCTTTACAGCGTGGTCCTGCAGCTCCTCTCATCTTCCTGTATGTGGTGGACACATGTTTGGAAGAAGAAGATCTCCAGGCTCTCAAGGAGTCTCTCCAGATGTCTCTCAGTCTGCTGCCCCCCAACGCTCTTGTGGGCCTCATCACATTTGGCCGCATGGTTCAAGTTCATGAGCTGAGCTGCGAGGGGATTGCTAAGAGCTATGTGTTCCGAGGCACCAAGGATCTTACCGCCAAACAGATACAGGTAAGTCCAGCCAAAGGCCTTTGGTAGTCTGGTGTGAGTGACACACTTATTAGGGGGGAAAAAACAGGAAGTCCATTTAGATTAAAAAGTACAAAAAACAAGGTTAGCTATTGTTAAACGTGTAAAACCTTTGCTTTTCATTTCAGGAGATGCTGGGTTTAACAAAGCCAGCTGTAACAGGACAACAAGGTCGTCCTTTGGCCCCTCAGGATGCTGCTGCCACTTGCAAGTACGTCGGAGCACAATCAATTCATGTTTGTCAGTTGATGGTTATTGTTTACAAAAAAAGCAAAGCACTTTTTTTTTTCTAAAACGTGTGTGTGTGTCTTATATTCAGGTTTCTTCAGCCTGTGCATCGAGTCGATATGAATCTGACAGATTTGCTGGGAGAGCTTCAGAGAGACCCGTGGCCTGTCCCTCAGGGTAAACGGCCACTCCGATCCACTGGTGTTGCGCTGTCTGTCGCTGTCGGCCTGCTGGAGGTACGAAAGACAAAAAATTATCTCATACATTAAGTGCA